CGGGATTCCGGGTGTCCATATCCGGGCATTGTGCCCTGTATTTTCTTTTCATTTGTCGCCATGTCGCCCACATGGCTTTGATCTAACAAATTGATTTACACTAACGATTGTTTAATGAAATTCCACAAGCGGCACTCATCACCACCTCATTCCAACCCTGTGAGCTGTGTCCTGGTGGGAAGTGTAAATTACCCGACACCCGGACCCATCCGGACTCATCCACGTGCCACACGTGCCCCCGAATACAACAAAGCGACGTGTCTTGCACCATCCTTCAGTTTTCCACTTGCAACTTTTCACCATTTGATACTTTTCGGTTTGATTTAAATTGGTTTCGCTCAAGAGTCGCTGGGTGTGATTTGTTATCCCTTTTGTGGATGTTTGCCTTGGTTACGGATGAACAACTAATAAAGATTGTTGCACTGCAACTGCTGTAGTAGATATCTACTAAAAATAGGTACTTTTGAATGAGGAGCTACCTGAAAAACACCTACTTGATCGTGCTATTTTTTAAAACCATATATTTTCAGTCCCAGAAACCGTAGCAGATGTTTCAGCTTCCACGCCGATTTCATTTGGCCTACATGAGGAGTCCTAAGCTCAATGAGCCCAAACCAATTTGTGCAAATCCCCTCTCATTTTGACTTCATAATCCTCGCAACCAAAACAAATAGACGATTATCTTTCACGGCTTGTGCGTGACCACGCCGAAAGGGGGTAAGGCTTCTAGATGGTTATTACCAACTGTCCAAATTGCTGGAGGTTGCCACGCCCCAACAGTTAAGAGAGCAAAAGCCAAAGTGGTAAACCAATCCCACATTCGGGGCGTTTTGCTTTCGTGGCATACGGACAAGTGACAATCATCCCACTTAATTGAATTCTGCGCTGCATAATAAATCAACTTAATGCGATCCAAGTACCCAGTTGAGTTCCTCGAGGATGCGAAGCCATTCGAAATGGAGTGCAAGGAAATCCTTTGGCTGCGGTTATAGGTGGCTCAGCCAGATCCAGCGGCAAATAAACAACAATAACACACGATGCCCACTTTTCCACTTTCCACGTTTCCACCCGCCCAGTAATTTCCACACTTGTGCTGACACATTGAAAGGGCTTTGCGTTTTATTTATGAATTGAGAAATTGACGTCCTCTGCCAAGCGGAGTGGAGTGGGCACCCGAGGAGGCTTAGGCACACGGTGCTCGATTTTTATTGCCGCCGAACAAGAGGCTTAGGCACAGGCATCACCACCACCATCATCATCATCCACATCAAATGAACAAAACTGAATGAAATGAGCCACGAAACATTGGTGTGTGGCACTTGCTGTTTGTCCCAACCCTCTGGTAAAGAGCCGGGATAAATCGAGCGTGAAATATTCCAGCTCGTCCGGAGGATTGCGATCCGGGTGTGGGGCAGCAAGGATGCTTAAATCGAATCCATTGTTGTGAATGCCACTTGTTGGCAGGTTGGAGAACGGAGATCCCGAAACAGAATTTGCGGCTGCAGTTGTGCAATTTGCCCGCTGCCTGCTGTGATTTTTCCCATTGTCCTGGCAATCGTGGGGTGGCTTGCCCACGCTGATTCTCGACGTCCTTGTCCATCAAATTGAGCGTCACTCAAGTATTCAAGTGCCTGTATGTGTATCTCCCACGGCAGAGCTCCAGCCTGACTTGTTTTCAGCGCTTCAGATACTTCAAAGATTTAATAATCACATAAGAAGTGAAGCTATTAAATCTGCCCTCTCTCGGCCTCCCCGAACTTCTTACGCGGCCTCAAGTGTTTGCCTTTGCGATCCAGCAGGTGCCACCGACCCTCAGATGCCGTCCATCGATGCAGGATGCGACAGGATGCGGCAGGATGAGCAATCTCAAGCGCAAATTAGTGGGGATCCCCTTCGCCAGGTGTACACTTCACGAAATAAACAACCACTTTCTTGAATAAAGATATGTTTGTATATAAATATCGATATGTACAGATAATGCATTATTAAATAAATATGCTATATAAGTTTATTTATTGTATAATATTTGAAATTACAACTATTAAAGTAATAATTGCAAATCTTAGCATCCAAATGCTCTAAAAACATATTACATCTTAGTCATTAGTATGAATGTGCATTAGTAGTTCCCAGTGTAGAGTGAAGGCGGACCATCGTTCGGTGGCTAGCAACAGTGTCCTTTGTTTGAGCCAAAAGAGGCGATTGTCCTTGCCGTATCCTTGCAGTCAAAGCAATTCAAGTGTCAAATCTTTTATTTGCCTTTTGCAGATTTCGCAATAAAAATTTGTATTGTCAAAGTCTGGGCTCAGCCAAGCCAGAGACCAATCCCGAATCCCGACCAATCCGTAGTCCTTCCCCCCCTCCCACTCCCATACCCACTGAGCGCTCCGTTTCATCCGCTTGGCATATCCTTTGCTGGCTTGCCTGTGTGCAATAAATTTGCTGACAAAAGAGGGATTATTGCTGGATCATGCCGCTGTTGCTGCAGCGCGGGATGAGGACGAAGCTGGAGCTGAGCAGGATGTGCTCCTGGTGGCTGGTTCCTGTCAGCGTGCATTCCTCGGCGTTATTGTTTGGCCATAAGTTAATTGTTCCCCTGCGAAAGCTTCAGTGCACCGCATCCTCACGCTCAACTGGCCGCCCAAGTCCTTCGTCCGGACTCCTGCCGTGCTAAGGCGGCGATTAACCGTAGTCTGACAGGGGACATGGATACGGCTGTGACCACGGATTGGCCCAGGATAGTGGCTGCAGGAGGCGGGGTCGGATGTGCCTAGTTGGAATCGTTTAATTGCCATGGAAACTATTGAACAGGCGGATAAGTAATGAAAAGTGGATTGAAAGAGCAAATATTTTCGATATACTAGAAGGAAGGAGGGCTAAAGTTTTCGAGGAGGTTTGGGTTGGATGATATAGATAGATTATCCGCTATAGCAGCATGGTGATTTTCATTGTTGCTAGCCATTCTATCGGTACAGCTACACATATATTTATGCTGACTCCAGTCGGAATTAACTACTATTTGTTATTAGAGTCCAGACACATAAAAAAGACTAAATTATTTGAAAAAAAATCCTTATTTTTTGAATAGAAATATTCAGTAATTGGGTAAGTATTTGCTTGGTTAGTTAAAGCCGTTTAACCTGTTTATAAAATTCCGGAACTGTTAAGCGTGATTGTATTTTGTGTCCGACCAATTTCGCTTGGCAGTAATGAAATGTTCTGTTTGCTCATAAAAAGACAAGGAAAAGCCTCAATAAATTTTCCGCCTCGAAATTGGAAAGCGGACAGAGCGGAAAGGACCCCAAGTAAGTATATACAGCCTTCTATTTAGGCCCCCTGATAATACCAACACTGCTAAGCTGGATAAAGATACATACCGATAGCCGATGCCACGCCCCTAAAAATCTGGCCAAAAATCATTGATTCGTAAGTGTAACAATGGGGAAAAGAGGGGGTGGCATGGGGAACTGGGAAATGGGGATTTTGGGGTGGCAAAGCTAAAATAGAATAATGAAAACGATGCCAGGAGTGAAAGAAGCGACATCAATATTGTTCTGAATGCGAAGATGGCGGCCCTTATTGTATTTGTGTCTGTTTCTATGCAACTGTGTGTGTGCGTGTGTGTGTGAGTGAGTGTTTGGCTGTGTGTGGGTAACTTCCGCAAAACTGGAAAACTAATTTGAACAAAGTACAACAAATAAAAGTGACTACTGAATGTTTAATTTGAAAAGGGAAGGCTCCAAACACTGAATGCCGAACAACAACAATGCCTACAACAACAATGTCTAACAACTGGAGAACAAAAACAGCGAAAATGAAAAAGAGAAATAGTACAAAACTCACTTGGATACAAGTACAAATGCAGCAAACACATGTACGCCCAGACCCCACTCTACTGCTCTCTCTTTCGCTCTTGTGTCGCCCACTGCGCTCAGAGGATGTTGGCGAAAATGGCGCTTTCAATTCCCTCTCACTTCCACACCCCAATAAAATGTACGGAAAGAAACCCAATATTATCTGTTGTATATTATCTATAAATATAGTGTCATAGTACATTTGTATTGTTTAAATTTAATTTATTCTTAAAAAGTTTTTTTTGCTTTGCTAAAATGCCACCGCTGCTCATTTATAGTTGTTTACATATATTGATTATGTATTATTATACATTTAAGTTAATCTTTATTAGAAAAACAGCAAAATATATGCTGAGAACGTATAATTTTCTTAAATAATGTAAAATAAATAACACTTTACTGCTCTAAATGGAGGGAAAGGGGCTATAACTTCGTTACTTAACTTAAGTAAGATTTGTGGAATTTTACATAATCAAACACATACATAATTAGGTTCTAAACCTATTTTTCTTTCTGTGCATAGGAGCAGAGCGCTGGGAATGAGATTGCGAGACCGAGAGAAACCAAGAAACGTCGACATACGGTTAGAAAAACATTCGCACATAAAAATGCCAACATTTGAAGCATAACATTTGGGGCAGAGGAGCAGAGTGGGTGGCGTGGCAAGGGGCGTAGGAGGGCAGGGTAGAAGGACGCCTGCCTCCATGTGGCTGACATAATGAAACATTATTAAGAGCCACGACGTCAAAGCGGCAAAAGGTATCTAAATTTGCGCAAAATGTTTATCCCCCCGCCCCCCCGCCCCCCTGCCCGACCCTCCACCGCCGCGTCCGTTGGCTTCTGCAGTCGCTGCCAATTTGCCGCCGCTTGGAGAGAGGAAAACACAAATATCGCATTTACAGCCAGGGCTCTCCACCATTTTGTAAGGACTCGCAGCGCGTAGGAGAGGGATGGCACGAGCGAGTTCGCATAGATTGGTTAGCAGGATATGAACCCATCCCCCGCTAGAAAGAGAGGCCTGGCCGGGCTCTCTTGCTCTCTCTCCCTCTGCTGCAATGCAGCCGGGGGAGCAGCCAGGATGCGGCCAGGATGCTGTCAGGATGCTCTGCCCGCGCCGACGGCGACGTCGGCAGTAGAATCACAGTTATTCGAGATACGAAAACACAGCAACGGCGACACAAAAGCTCAGGGAAACGTCAGCGGCAGCGGCAATGGCAGCGGTTTTTCATAAATAAATGTTTGAGTTATGTAGAAAAACATTTTGGGCGAGAAGATTTTCGTTTTCGTTGCGATTCAGTTAACATTTGGCCAGCGGATTCCGCCTTCAACGGACACGACGACGGACTAGGCGCTAGCCTACTTTCCACTTTCCACACCACTGCTGGCCATATGTACAGTTTACTCTAGCAGCTAAGCCGGAAACGACGGTGACAGCGAGCACAACGGTTAACGGAAGCGGAAACGAACAAGAAAATATCAAATTCCAGTTTAAAACGCGTAGCATATGCAAATGCCGAGTGAAGCCAGTGAAGCAAGTCAAGCGCCAAAACGAACACAGTTCCTGAGCAAAATAGTCAAATAACAGTGTTGCGTCCTCTAAATTAAGTGAGTCCAGTTCGCGGACTCGAATAGACTACAGTGTATACCCGCTAAGTCATGCACACCAGCACGGATCCCATGCACAATCTGCACGACAGCGTCTCCCTCTCGCCGCCGCTCATCAAAAGCTCCAGAGGCGGCTCCTCCGGCGGCAACGGAATCGGATGCAGTGCGTCCTCGCGCGCCGCCGCCGCAGATGCCATGTCCATGGGCTGCGACGACAGCGACATCGAGCCGTCGTCCATGGGCGGAAGTGGTGCCGCCGGCGGCAACGGCGACGGTTCGGGATCCTCGGGTGGTCCACTGGTGAAGCCACCTTACTCCTACATAGCCCTGATCACCATGGCCATTCTCCAGTCGCCGCACAAGAAGCTCACGCTCAGCGGGATCTGTGATTTCATCATGTCGCGGTGAGTCTTCTTATACGCATTCTATGTTTTCTCAACAAAGTGGATAGTAAACTATTCTAACCGTATATATCCTGGAATGGAAAAGAAATAATTGGATATTTACAAGTAAAACGTTATGTTAAGGAAATTATTAAATCAAAGACCATTGTAGCGTTGTTACTCAATATTAAATTAGTGAAAAGTTATAAGATTTAAATTTAAAACAGAAAAGAAGAGACATTCAGTGTTGTTAACAATTCCAAATATATTAATATATATTTCAAAGAAAACAACACTTAGTTTCTACTTTTATTTTCCCATTTTTAACAACTGCTATACTTGAGTGATTGCCAATCCACGTTAATCTAGAGAAATTAAGAAATACTCCTAAAGTTATCTAGAAAAATTAAGTTATACTCCTAGAGCTATACTTATAAACAATGCTTTCGAAATAATTTTAATTGAGATATGCAATTAACTTGCAGCTTTCCGTACTACAAGGACAAATTCCCCGCCTGGCAGAACTCCATCCGGCACAATCTCAGCCTGAACGACTGCTTCATAAAGGTGCCCCGCGAGCCGGGAAATCCCGGAAAGGGCAACTTCTGGACGCTGGACCCGCTGGCGGAGGACATGTTCGACAACGGTAGTTTCCTGCGCCGGCGGAAGCGCTACAAACGGGCGCCCACCATGCAACGCTTCTCGTTTCCGGCGGTCTTTGGCACGCTTTCTCCGTTTTGGATCCGCAAGCCCGTGCCCCTCGTGCCGGTGCACTTCAATGTGCCCAACTTCAATGGGAGCAGGGACTTCGACGTCGTCCACAATCCGGCGGATGTTTTTGACTCAGCTCTGCGGGCTGACAAGAAGTTCAACTTCTTTGCGAATGCCGAGGCATCCTTCTACCAGGGAAGTCAGTCGGGGGACAAGTTCGACCGACTGCCCTTCATGAATCGCGGTCGAGGAGTGGATGCCCTGGATGCACTGCCGCACAGCAGTGGCTCCGGTGGAGCAGGCGTTGGATCCGAGGGCAGCCGTGGCTCCAAGTACAAAAGCCCCTACGCCTTCGATGTGGCGACTGTGGCCAGTGCTGCGGGCATTCCCGGCCACAGGGAATACGCAGAACGACTGTCCGCCGGCGGTGGTTACATGGATCTCAATGTGTACAACGACGATGCGGACACAGAGGCCGATGCGGAAGCCGAGGGAGATGACGACTCCTGCGAGGACAAGATCGACGTGGAGAGCGGCAATGAGCAGGAGGACTCACATATCTCCGATTCGGTGGACAGCGCCTGTACAAATCGCCTGGACGCACCGCCGGATGCGCTGATCTTCGAGAACGCCGAGGCGTCCGACTCCAGTCCAAGGAGACGCTTCGATAGCGAGCCCCTGGTCCTGCGGACCAGCAAACAGAGCAGCGCCAAGGACTTCCGCATCGAGACGCTGATTGGCCACCACCTGCATCGCGGTGCCAGCCAGGAGGAGGCCAGCGACTAGGCGGGATTCCCACTTGGGTGAACCAATTGGCTTGTGTACAGTCCAGTGAACGGTGATTTCAGTTTCGATCTAAGCACGTTTTAAAAATCCACTTACACCACCACCCAGGAATCCAATCCGAGCAGCAAGTAGTGATCAGTAGGTGTATCCGTAGGATGTAGGAGCCAGCACACGAGTTTTTAAATGCGACCAAATCGAAGTCAACGCTATAGTTGCCAGTCAGTCAGTCCACTTACGTACTATACATATATCTGCGCGTAATATCTATGTAAATCTGAAGCATTGCACGTCTATAGCATACTTTTAACGCGAATTCTTGGGGTCTGGACTCAGGATTCCAGGCTCTAGACTAGACCTATATCTACCATGCAAGTACTAATCATGTGTATGTGTGCGTGTGCGTCTGCGTGTAACTGTAACACATCCAAGCAAGAGGAACACTATTAACTATAAATTAGACTAAGAATTTTGCTGATGTTATTGAAAATTGAATAAACAACATAATAATAGTTTACACGCACAAGGCATACATGTTTGACTGGTAGGTACTGAACTGCATGTTGTTGTTAGCCACAACTATTGTTTCTTACCAATCTCATTGATACATGTTAAATGATGTTACTTTCATAAGTAATACTTATTATTTACTTTTGCCAGCGGATATGGCCACTGTTTTGCTTTGTTACCTTCTGTGTTCAATAAAACACCCCCTGCTTATTTGAATTCACCGCCCAGCAAACCTGTCCAGGTGTGGCACCACTGCCTGGAAATCAGTTCAGCTTTAGCGCCTGCGCAGTGACCACCGCTCAGCTGTTGTGGCGCAGGACGAAGTTGTGCCGCCATAGAACGCCATGGAGTTGAGCGCTACCAAGCGAAAGCTCGAAGCCGTGGGCTTCCAGTGTTAAAACATGAAAAGCTGTGCCTGGAAGCGGGACAACAGTGTGCCGCAGAAGATACCAACACCAACTATTGGTATCCGCCAGCAGAACTCACGCGCTACGCCGAGAGTACGAACTCCACTTTTGGCACAGTTCGCCCCCGCGGACTCCACTCCGCACGCACACACTATCGCAGCCGTAGATGCTCGTATATGTGGGCTGCAAAAAGTCGATTTTTCGCTAACAAAAAGTGTCCTGTGTGGGCAAAACTTTAAATGGCCCGGGCCATAAAAGGAGATTGCCATAGTTGCGACTTGCAGTGCGAGATGTCCTGCGAGGAGCTGCTGCGTCCGTGGTGCTGAGCTCGTTGGGCCGAGAAAAGTTTGTGCCAGTCAGTGCCAGTCAGTGCCCGTATTCCCAGAAAAAAGCATCCCCCTGCCGCTGCTGCTGTGATGAGATTGGTGATAATGAGTGCCACCAAATGCCCCCATGTATCCACATAAAAGCGCAAGCCGAAAACAGACAACACCACGCTAAGTAGTAACGTCCAGCCACAGAAGTGACCACTGCCACGCACAACGGAACGGGAGGATCAGGAGCGACAGGATCTGGAGTGGCCAGCGACGCAGAGGCAAACTAGTCGGCCCTCATGGCGGGCTGGCGAGGACGAGGGCTACGTGCCACGCTGCTGGCCGTGCTCACGTTACTCACGGGTGAGCAGTTCCCGCATACATCCTATTCGTGGTAGCCCGAGCTAATCCTGAACTCCTCCTCCTAACCCATGCCCACACAGTCACCCATTCGGTGCGCATCACCAACCTGCGGGTGCCACGCACCTATACGCTGTTCCGAGACCACGAGCCCGATCCCCTGGTGCTCGACTGCGAGGTGGAGATCGGGCCGCGGGAGCAGGGATTCGTCCTCAAATGGCTGTTCAACAATCACTCCATCTACCAGTGGATACCCTCGGTCAAGGGGTTCGCCATGGTGAGTCATCCGGGGTCTTTGCTCGCACCGAATTAATTAAGATTAATCGAACCATGTCTTTGTCTTCGATTTGTTCTTGTGCTTGCGACTGTAGGGCTTCATGAAGTCGAAGATAGACACCAAAATATTCACTATGGAGGGCAGTCCCGGTGTTATATCGATAAAGAATCCCGACTGGAACATGACGGGGGAGTACACCTGTGCGGTGCAGACCTTCGAGTCCACGGATAAGCGGAGTGCCCGCCTGCAAATAATCGGTGGGTGTCACGACCACAGCGCAAAGGAAAAGGATCGGCGGTGAAAGATGTGCGGTGGCGATGGGTATGGGATTGGGTAGCATGGTGGAGGTGGGGGTCGAAAGGTCTAAGGTGGTGGTTATGCCTCTGGTTCTGCTGGGTAACCTGCCCACTTGCCCTGCCCGCCCCCATCTTGACTTGGCCCCCATCCCCTTTGTGTTTGCATAGGTGTTCTTGGGTCGGGTCGGGTTTACACAGGGAGACAAAAATTATGATTTATGTACATTAAAGCCATTAACAAAAGCCGGGAGAGCCTTACTCTAATGTGCTGGCCCTTATGCTGCTCCACCATTAGCATTCATTCTTTTCAATATCATCTTGTGCCTCAGCAGTTCTAATTTAAATTTGCAACGCACTGGATTTTTGGACTTTGTTTAAGAAGAACTGACAAGACTACAGTCTGTCCTACTTTATGATTTGTTTAAATACATATAGGAGCTATTATAATAATATTACTTTCTGTTCTGACCACATCCTTAACTCAGGTTTGAATACTAAACTTAGTGAGTACCTGAGTTTGTTTCAGTGTTCTAGGGCAGCTGTTTAACTCCAATTGGCTGAGCCAGAGCGTGCTCAATCGAGGTCCCCAATTAAATGCTAGGGTCAGCAGTTTTTCTGCCAGTGCAGGTGCTGGGCGCCGTGTGTGTGGCACGTGTGATTCGCTTTCATATTTGCATGCGTGTCATGTGGCAGTCTCTGCGGTGTCCGGAAACACGGCTTGTTTGTGCTGTTTTGTGCTTTTCTTTGGGACACTGTTTTGTTTGGTATTGTTTTGGTTTTGTTTCGTTGTTTAGTTTGACACTTGATTAATTCTCACGACTTTTTGTCTTTCGGCTCCTGTCTGCCGGCTCCACCACACTCCCTTCGCCCAATCCGCTCCGATTGCGACAGTTCCTGAGTCGGATTTCATGCTGGAAGCGCGGATGAGCGGCTCGCGTATGGACGTGGACATCATGTGTGCGGTCCAGCACGTCTTTCCGCAACCCAAGCTGTCGGTGATGTAAGAGGATCCACTGTCCGACCATTGTGGCCGGCGTAATCGAATTGCAGCAGGACCTAATCGTCCCCTCCGCAGGTTTGACACCCACGTACTGGACTCGGTGCTGACGCAGTTGGACCAGGACCCCAGTGGCCTCTACAGCATGACCGTTCGCACCCGCATTCCTAGAGATCAACTCGAGTCCCCCACCCCGATCACCTGTGCGTTCATCCTAGATGGCACCAACTACACCAAGCGCCGGGAGACTATTTTCTATGGTAAGTACAGGTAAGCCTGGATTACACTTCGCTTATAAGGACAAGACATTCATTGATGGCTCACCAGCCAAAGTAATAAGCTACATTTGCTTGAGTTTATACAGTCTGTAAATGAAAGGGTTTTCGAACCTACAGTAAAATATATTTCGATTAGAATTAATCTGACGTGTTATCTGTTCGTTTATGCGTCCGTCCGTTTGTCCGTCCCATACGGACGCCAAGATCTCGGAAACTTATAGTTAAGGCTACAGAGTGCAAGCTTACAACTAGAAACTATTTTTAAAGTAAAAAAAATTAATTATATTTATAATATTTTCTTCTGTACAGATAAGGCCTCAACTATACAACGCAAGTGGACAACAGTGGCTGTAGTCATGTCCATCGCATCCTTAGCTCTAAGCAGTTAGTTTGGTAGAGTCATTTTATGTAGGCTACATTCGTTTTTATGTTTGGACTAGGAACTTTGATACTCCTTAATTTTTAATAGACTTTTAATGGATAAACGTAATTTTTTGCGGTATTTTTAAAAAAAAGCGCTTATTTTGTACATGCATGTATTTGTAAGGATAACGAAACACAAAACAAAAACAAACACCACAATGCGTAAGCAAACGAACCCATAAAGACAAAAAGGACAACAGTAAAGCATAACAAGAAATTCTTGTATTTATATATTTACCACATAAATAAAATATATATGATAGTTATATACGATGTATAGGTCTAATTGAGTACAGAAACGCTAATAAAAAATACGAAAAGAAACATTAAAAGTGCATTAAACCAACCGCCTTCGTCGTCGTTTTTCTTTGCTAAACAACTAAACAAAATTTTGAAATTGTATTTTTTATTGTAAAATTATGCTGTAGAGCTTGGATTCAAGTCATAAAATAAACAAATCCTCGCAGGACTAATTGAAACGCAATTATTTTTTATTTTTGGCTTCTATGGATTGGTTCAGGTGAAGTTCATTTTTTATCAATACTCCTTAATCACTTGGGCGAACACTATTAATGTATTTATTTAAAAAAATAATTATTTACTATTTATTTATGTTCATATGGGCTTGCGTCAAAGGCAAATAAGCGTTATAAACATAGCTATTTGCGGATTTTATAACAGTGCGGATGCTCCGCACTTTCGTCTGACTGTGAATGCAGCCCTGCGCCTGTTCCTGCGCACACCCTTCCAGCCCTGCCGACCTTCCAGTCTTCCAGTGTGCCTATGAGTATGCAGTGAAAATGACAGCAGTGGCAGAGGAGCCATCAACATCACCATCACCGTAGACAGCAGAAACGTTGACGCCAGCACCAGACGAGAGCCAAGGTTCCTGCCACCCAGTTAGCCCACTCGATTGGATAATCGCCGAGGATCGGAAAACGCGAAAGCAGCCCTCGAATACTCAACAATCCACAATCCCAGCCAGCCAGCATGTCCTAGTGAAGTCCTCGACGTGGGAAGAGTGCAGAGTAGGGAATAGGATAGCAGAGCAGGTGCTGCACGATGGCCTCCGGCGATGGGGACACCATCAACACCATCGACATGGACAGCTCCTCGGCGTCTCAGGCGAAACTGGCAGAGCCCAGCAATGGTAACTATTATCCACAGACCCCGTCACTTTTCCCAGCGTGAAAAAAATCAATGACTGTCGAATGGAAATGCCCCTGGCGCATGTGTCTCGCGCGAAGGGAAGAAGCGTGAGTGTGAATCCACCCCCGCCGCACTTGTCAGACGGACTTCCATCGGCTCCTATTTATATTTTTGGATTGATAACAAAAGAAAGTCACACGCGACTGGAGGGAGAGTGTCCTGTCCAAGTTCAAGTTGCGGTGATTGACCAGGCGACTGCGTCATGGCCTGAATTAAACATGACTCCTAATAATGAACTCTGTTCGTCTTTCTTTAGCCTCCACCGACCATGTGGGAAACTCATCGCCCGACGTAAGTACATCCGTCTTGGCCTCGAGGTCACTCCCATCCAAACTAATCGGGTCAATTGCTTTCCCACCCAACCAGCTGGGCAACCGAACAAACCGAGCGTCCAGCAAGGCGGACAAGGAGCGCAAGATTGGCCACAGACGCGTCGGCGAGGGCG